AGGCTAGGGCACGGGGTAGCGTGGTAACCGCATGCGAGCGGTGGTGGGCCCTTAAAAAAAACGGTCGGTAGGTCCTAGGGACCTCCTGCTCTGAATACCATTTCAGAATAACTAGGCAAGAATGAATGAACTAGCAGAAGTTTGGGTACAAATATGAAACCCTAGTTGGGGTTGTACCCCATATTGGCTACCCCACTACAGCCTACCAACATATAACACATTACAATTTAACACCCCTTCCCGTATCCCCTCGGGGCTGCTCCGATCAGAGTATTCCTTGCCAGGCTGCAACCCACCATCTCGCACAAGCACTCCCTCCCACTCTCCTCGTCCAAGCGTCCTTCTCATCAACGCACTGCTCCTCTCTTTCTCCTCTCCCCACCCCCCAGCTCCGCACCTGCTTCCCTTCCCCCACGCCGACTTATCCCCCCACCGCTACAGTGAGGGCGCGGACGCACTGTTCATGGGCATCTTGCATGCAGGCCGCCCACGTGGCAGGCGTGCGGAAGGCTGCGGGCTGCTGGGTGCCCCCATGGTTGTGTTCTTCCTTGGGAACGAGCGGAGGGAGGAGGAGGAGGGTTGTAATGGGTCAGTGCTGCTGCAGGGTGACTGTAGGGTGAAGGGGGTGCGTGTGTGGAAGTGGGCTGCTTATGTTGTCGATCTCTAGCAGGGGAAGTGGATCTGGGCCAGGCTGCTGGATGCCGCGTGGCGTGGCTGTGCTCTGCTCTCTCAGCTCACTCACTCTCAGGTCGCTCTCACCTCAGCTCACTCTCACGTCACTCTCAGATCACTCTCAGGTCGCTCGCACCGCAGGTCACTCCCAGGTGTTTCAGGTTTTTCTGGTCGTGAAAGGCAGCTGATTTGTTAGGCCCAGCTGAATGCTGCCCAGCTGTATGCTTAGCAGAGGTGTTTTCAAGGTGCTTGAGACTCTGTGCATGGTGTGTGCCCTAGGAATGACCGGCCGTGAAACTAACAGGTGCAGTCTAGAACATTGCTCCTTCCGTCCCCTCCCCACCTGAACTCCTTTCCCATTGCTAACCACTTCTCTCTCATCTCACCCACCTCACTTGCCTGACCCTCTGGCCCCTCTTGGGCTGTTTCCCCGTTACCTCCCACTGGCAACCCCTCCCCAATCACTCGTCGTAGTTCCATTCCACACAGAGCTACTTACACATTACCACTTTGCTTTGCATTGCACTGGCATTTCCCTCTGGCCCATCCTGGCTGTCTCACCAGCCCCTCCTGCTGCCGTTCCTGCCCCCCTCCATCTGATGACCCTCTGACGTGTGCATAGATCCCCCCCCCCCCCCCCCCCCCCCCCCCCCCCCGTCATTGTCCCGCCATCCCCTTCACAACCCCGATTCCCGCTTGGCCAGTGTGAGGGGGGGTGTTGGTTCTATCCCCGGAGTGCATGCGTCAGGGGTAAGGCGCGCAGCATTCCCATGCTTGTGGATCTCTCCCGACGGTGCCTGACAAAGGTGAGTGCAGGCTAGCACAGCCAGGCCCAAGATGGTCACTTTCCTTATGGCTTCTGGTCATCAACTATGGTGCCCTCGCTTGGTCACCTCCTTTTTTGTTTGGTTTCAATAAGTTGTGCTGCTGCATTGCCCTCAGCGTCTCCTCACCTTTTCTCCCTGCAACTCCAAACGTGACTCGAGGTCTCCTCTCATGTCCGTCTCTGGTTAACAAATCATGTAACCTACGAGCCTCACATGCTGATCTTCTCACTCAATCACGTCTTTCCCTGTTTGGTTCAATTCCCTCACGATGTCCCTTACTCTCTCTTCACTCTGCACCTTGCATATTCAAAGCGATTCCAAGTCTCCGCCCACCTCCCTCTCTGATTATCAGCTGTGGTATGGTAACCTCACATGCTAACCTCACATGGTAACCTCACATGCTAACCTCACATGCTGACCTCACATGCTGACCTCACATGCTGACCTCCCTCCCGAATGGTCCTTCATTGGATGTAATGCAATACATCAGTGTACTTTATAGATTCAGGCACTAGCATGCAAGAGAGCTACCTAAGGCAGCTCGAAGTCCGGCTCGAGGATGTGCAGCAGATCGCCCGTGTCAAGGGGCTCCTCCTGGTAGGCAGAGGTCGGTGCCTCGGCCTCAAAGGCCGCCAGGGTCTTGGCGCATAGGGCGTTCGCCTGGCCCTTCTGCTGGGCAATTGACCACCTTTGGCTTTGGCGGTATGAGTGGAACAATTTTGTTGCCTCCCGTGATGTAGGCTCGGCATTGTGAAGGCGCTTCGCCGCCAGGTTTGCCCATGAACTCCATTACACTGGGGGAGCAGCACCCGTAAGTTTCTACTGCCATAGCAATAAATCCCACCCACTGTTGCCGGTTGCGTTACTTATGTTCTTTCGCCCTTGCCGCCGCCCTGGTTGCCCACCCCACTCCCCGCCTGGCCGTCTCGTCCTGGGAGGAGATGGGGTCGGTCACCGTTACGTCGATGAGCCACACGGCTTTTGAGTCACGGATGGCGAGGTCTGCCTTGAGGCCCTCCACCGGTGTGTATATTGTCGTCTCCTTCTGAACCACAAAGCCTGCCTCCGTCGCGATCCGCTCACACTCCTCACTCTCCCTTTCCATTGCTACCCACGCCCCACCACCCCACCGTTCCCTCTCTCTACCCTCCCCCCCCCCTTTCTCCTCTCTTTCGTTTCCCCCCCATTCCTTTCTCCCCCTCTTCCTTGGTGGTTGGATAAAGGTGGCAGCTGAGATCTCTCAAAGATATTTACACTAACCCCCCAACCCCAACTTCATTTTCCCTCCCCCACCTCCTCCCCATCAGCGTCCTCCCCCCCCTCCCTCCCCTCCCCCAAATCCTCGCCCTCATGCATGGTGTATCCCTGCAGCTGATTCTAGCAGTCGCCCCGGCATTATCGCATGGCGTGCTGGGAAGTGAGGCTGCCAGGGCGGTGATGCTTGGAGCACGGCAGAGCTGCTATGGCTGGAGTGGGGATTATCAGTACTATATATAGCTCATGGGGAAAACATCTGACATGTCAAGCCATCTCAGCAGCAACACCTATCCCATAGTCCATGCTTAAAACGCTTCAACCCATTGCTTTATCTCATCCCTGCCATGGCCTTTACCCAGTCCTGCCCTTCTCTCATGCCTTTCACTCATTGTGTGGAGAATTGTATTCAAGCACAATGGGGCAGCCGTCCTGAAGCATGTCATCGTGTTGTAGTCGAGGGTTTTCCGAGGGTAAGCCGTAGGGCAGGAGGTGGCACCAGGGACAAGAGCAGAAGGAGAAGCAGTTGGAGGCGTAGGAAGGGAGGAGGGCGAAGAGCGACGAGGAGGAGAGACGTCAAAGGGAGGTGGAGGAGGAGAGGAGGTGGCAGTGGCAGCCGGAGATGATGCGTGTGACAGCACGGCACGGAGGGACAACGCGGCACACCAAGGGGTCATTATGAGCTGCACAAGAACCTGGGAAGCAATAGCAACGCCGCTTTCACGGGGTGAGCGGGGGCAGTGCGAGCGTGTGAGGGCAAGGAGCATGACATGTGTTCGTGTTGAGTGTGGCTTGTGCTTTACATGTTCTCGAAATTGTCAGTTCACATGCGCTTGATTCTGCTTCAGGAACTGTAGCATTGCGAGCATGCAAGTGCAGGAAAATGTCAGAGGTCCACTGGTGATCCCCGATTGATCCTAGGGAAGGGTTACAGGCATGGCGGCCTGGGGGGTTATGGGCGCACTCACCCGCTACACAAACAAGCCCTTTTATCTCAGTGGTTAGTGGCTGGGATTCTGACATGGTATCAGAGTGAAGGTCTCGGGTTCGAATCCCGGTGTGTGCACCTCGGGCATCCCAGTGCGGGGGGGTGTAAGAGGTCCACTGGTGATCCCCGATTGATCCTAGTGAAGGGTTACAGGCATGGCGGCCTGGGGGGTTATGGACGCACTGACCCGCTACACAAACAAGCCATTTTATCCCAGTGGTTAGTGGCTGGGATTCTGACAGAAAATGACATGCAGGCCTCGTGGCGAGGGAACTTGAGCGTTTGTACAGGTTCGGCGGTGGTGATTCACACTGTCGGGGTGGAGCCAGCGAAAGCAAAAGTGTGAAGGTGAGGAGCTTGAAGGTGAGGCAGATGGTGCTAAAAATGCCTTCCATCCACCTCTTGATTGACCAGGCAGAATTGATGTGAGTTGCACAATTCACGTTGATAGTATTGTGGGAGAATTGCTGGAAAACAAGGACTTTATTCTATAGTACAATCATTGTGTTCTATTGCATCGCACAAAACTGTAAAGAATTACAAACATAACTGTATCATATTTATTGATTTTCACACAAAATCCAGAGGAAATTGGAAATGCACACAAAATGATTTATTGATTTTCTATTAACTTGGGAATTGGAAATGCACACAAAATCCAGAGGAATCATACATTTTCACTGTGATCAAACTTCAGCGCGTACTGTTCCGTGGTGTTCGTGTCAGGTGGTTCGGCATTCAAAATGCGTCAAACCACCCCCGAGTCGCCCCCGCGCCTTTCGCAAAACTTCCGAGCCTCGTTTCCCGAGGTCCTCGCCTAGCCAGGTTTTCCCCTACATCATTCCCTCGTTTTCATTCTATCGTCACTCTCTTTGTAAACTCACTCGATGTTCTCTAATTCCGCGCTCTTAGTTCATTTATAATAACAACCATGCACAGCTGAAAGCCCCTCGCCTAACGAGCTTCGCCCCTTCACACTCATGGCGATCACAGCAGCAGATCGCGGGCGACATGGGGAAAACAGCGGCCAGCGCTTCTTTTGAGTGAAGAACCAGCGACTAGGTTAGGAGTTGCGATGGACTAAGGCCAGTTTCGTTGGGAAGAATGGTTTGTGCGCGCTGGTGCAATCACGGTGGCGGCAGCGACGTCGCGCGGTATACGTCGGTGCTGCTCGCCTCGCCTGGCGTGTGCCCATCGCCCTTCCGCCAGGCGCGCCTGGAGCCACGTGGGCGGAACTGAAGCGGCAGGTGCGCGTTGGACTAGGTGGGCGATATGCGCGCATTCACGCGAGCACCGTTGGCGGCCCCCGCCACCACTGGTGGAGGGATTCGCGGGACGCGTTGGAGCACCGTAGGCACCCGTGCGTGGGCCGGTGGCACGGCGTGATGCGAGGTGGCACGGGAAATAGGCAGGCGGAAATAAGGACGATGGAAGTATGCAAGACGAGAGTAGCGACGGGGAGAGTAGGGACGGGGAGAGTAGACACGGGAGAAGAGAATAGGGCCAATAGAGTGAGGACGGGGAGAATAGGGACGGGGAGAATAGGGACGGGGACAGTAGGGACGGGGATAGTATGGACGGGGAGAATAGCGACGGGGAGAATAGGGACGGGGAGAATAGGGACGGGGAGAATAGGGACGGGGACAGTAGGGACGGGGATAGTATGGACGGGGAAAGTAGGGACGGGGATAGCGGGGATGGGGAGAGTAGGGACGGGGATTGTAGGGACGGGGAGAAGAGAATAGGGACGGCGAGAGTAGGGATGGGGATAGTAGGGACGGGTAGAGTAGGGACGGGTAGAGTAGGGACGGGTAGAGTAGGGACGGGTAGAGTAGGGACGGGGAGAATAGGAACGGGGAGAGTAGGGACTGGTAGATTAGGGACGGGGATAGCAGGGACGGGGAGAGTAGGGACGGGTAGAGTAGGGACAGGTAGAGTAGGGACGGGTAGAGTAGGGATGGGGAGAGTAGTGACGGGGATAGTAGAGACGGGTAGAGTAGGGACGGGGAGAGTAGGGACGGGGAGAGTAGGGACGGGTAGAGTAGGGACGGGGAGAGTAGGGACGGGTAGAGTAGGGACGGGTAGAGTAGGGACGGGTAGGGTAGGGACAGGTAGAGTAGGGACGGGTTGAGTAGGGACCTGATTGATTACCCAAGCAGCTTGCCCTGTTCATCTCTCACGACAATCGTACCTGCCTGCCTTGTCTTGCAATCTGCCCTTCTTTCTCCCCTGCAGAATGCCCCTCGGGATCGCCTCCCCTTCATGTTCGGACGCGATCGTTCTCGCTCCACCTGCTTGGTCATCTTCCCCCTCCCCCCTTCCCCCCTCCCTCCTCCTCCTCCTCCTCCTCCTCCTCCTCCTCCTCCTCCTCCTCCTCCTCCTCCTCCTCCTCCGCCTCCTGCTCTCCCCCCCCCCTCCCCACCCTTCCTCCTCCTCCCCCTGCTCTCTCTCATCCACACCCGAGCACAAGAGCACCAACAGCACCACCAACAGCACCACCGCTATTGCCACTCTCCCAAACCCTCTGGTCCCTCAGCCATCCACTTCGTCCCCTAGCCTGGCTTGGCCCGCCCTATCCTCGATGTTAGCCTAGGATCCGTAGATTACGCTACTGTAGAAGAGCTGTGCGCACTGTGTGTGTCGTGCGGAGCTGTTGAGGTGCTCGAAAGAGTGGTGGAGGAGACGCTAGAGCAGGAGGTGCGAATGGTGGTACTGCTGATGGTGATATTTCTGTTGCAGCAGCAGCAGCATCACCAGCATCAGCAGCATGAGCAAGGGGCAATGTCAAGTGCCTGGCTGCTCTCTCCTGCATCGGCACATTCTTCAAGTCTTAAGAGAACTTCCACTTTCTCTTCCGATTCTTTGTAAGCTCCAGTCGTCCTCTCTTTGTTTTCTCTTCCTCTTCCCGTTGCGTGTAAGCCGCATTCGTCCCTCTTTTTACCGCCGCATTCGTCGCAATGTCTCATAATGCCTTCAATTCCAAAAGAAAGGAGGAAAAAAAAGAAATCCACTTCCTCTTCTATCTGTGGTTAGCCCAAGTTAGCCTGAGTTACGCTGTAAATTTCTTACCTATCTCAGGCATCAGCCAAGGAACAACAACGTGTTGTTTGCTGGCACTTCTGCCACGTGTTCTGCCTGCACCGGAAGTGCCAGCAGCAGCAACAGGCAGCATGCATCTTCTCTGCTATTAGGCCGATACACAAATCGGCCGTTTTCCGTACCTTTCTAACTGTCCCTCTCTCGGCGAGCTTCTGGCGTGCAATCAGGTCTATGCATCATCCAAACCCCTCTGCCTCATCCAGTCTTTTCTATTCTCCCTCTTTTCGCTCCACCCTCCTCTCCCCTCCCCTCCCCTCCCTCTCTCAGTCTCAGCTGTTAGCCAAGGACTGCGTGGCAGCAGGGCTGTGCAGCATCCAGCCCTTCCTTGTCAATCGCACAGTCTGCCTCCTCCTTCTCCCCCCACCGCTCTCACCCCCTCCACCCGCCCTCCCCTCGTCTCCCTCCATCAGTTGTGAGCCAGGGACTACGTGGCAGCAGGGCTGTGCAGCATCCAGGGTTTAGGGTCCCGCTTTTGGTGTTTGCTTGCCGGGTGGTTTCCCAGATCTACATTGTGACCCCTCCTTCTCCCGTACCCCTCCTTCTCCTGTACCCTCCTCAGCTGCTCTTTAAAACGGGAACAGAAGCCAGGCAGAACGCAGCAGGAGACCGGGCAGGCAGCAGCAATGCACTCGCCACGTCTGATAGGGTGCCCTTCTGTTCTCCTTCTCAACTCCCCCCCTGTTCTTTCTTGTATGCTTTTTGAGAAGGGAACGGAGGCCAGCAGAACGCAGCAGCAGACTGGACAGCATCGATCGGCCCTCTTGCTGCTGCCGGCAAGAGACTCGTCTTCTCTGCCGCTTCCTCTTCCTCTACTGCTGCTGGGACTTCTGGTGCAGGCGTAGCTACAGGACGAGCATGTACCAGCAGCAATGGCAGCAGAAGCAGCACCACCACCACCACCAGCTGAGGTGCAATATTCCTTTCCCTTTTTTGCCATTCTCTCCCAACCTCCCCACTGATAGGCGCTGCGTCGTAGTGACAGAATTCTTGGTGGAGCTGTTTTTGAGAACTCTAAAAGAAACAGAGTTTGACCTGGCACTGGAGGTGATAAACTTCCTGCACCTGCGTGCCTTGCAGATTCATTCACCATACTTGCTCACCCCACCGCCTTCCCCTTTTTCCTTTCCCCCTCTCCTTCTCCCACCAATAGGAGGTGTGTCGAAGTGACGGAGTTTCTGGTGGAGCGCGAGTTTGACCTGGCGCTGGAGGTGAGAGTCACGGTCTCTGCAGTATCGCACCTAGAATTGGTCAATCACTCCCTCTCCCTCAAGGAGATGTTCAGCACCGCGTGCTGTTTGAGGGGCTCAGGGGCCGGATCAAATACCTGCTGCCGCCCGCTGACATGGATGAGGTGAGAATATGAGGACCTGCTGAATGCGCCCAGGGGTGTACCTGCTTTGGCTGCTGTTGCAAGGGCTCTTGGATCGGATCAAGTACATGCTGCTGCCAGCAGATATGGATGAGGTGAGCTGTGGGTTAGGAGCTGGGAGCTAGGAGCTGATAGCTGGGAGCTCGGAGCTGGGAGCTGGGAGCTGGGAGCTGGGAGCTGGGAGACGAGTGCCTGTTGCTCTGGGAAATCTTTGCGTTGCCTTGAGAGAAGCAGCAGCACCGAGTGCTGTTCGAGGGGCTCATGGATCGAATTAGGTACGTGCTGCCGCCCGTTGACATGGAAGAGGTGAGAGTGCGGTTACCATGTTATTACACCCTGTCATCACTGCACTGAACATGTGAGCATTGGTGGCCCGCCGCTGTATGAGGGGCTCATGAGTGGGATCAAATACATGCTGCCGCCCGCGGATATGGATGAGGTGAGATACGCATGTCCAAGGCTTTTTTATCATTGTATATTCCTCTGTTTTCACCCTCCCATCTCCGCACACATCATTTCTGGCGCTACTTCGTTGACGAGGTGCCTTGAATCTGAGCGCTGCTTTCCCAAGCGCTATACCATCCCATGTCGTCCGTCCACCTCCCCCCGCCTCGCTCTGACATTCAGCCCTGGGCCTTTCTCCTCTCCCTCTTCCCACACCAACAGCACTGCCCTCAACCAGTGAGGAGCCATGTGCACTCTTCCCCGCCCCCCCCCCAACTTCCCCACTCCTCTTCGACACATAGGCTGGCAGCGTGGCAGAGTCACCGTGAGTACGTGAACTATCTTCCTTTTCCCCTCCTCCTCGCTCAGCAGTATGGTCCTACCCTCTTCGCCCCCTCCCCCACTCCCTACCCTATGAACTACTAGCCGTGAGAGCAGGATAGCCGAGATAGGAGGGGACGAGCGACGATAGGTGAGAACTTGTTCCGACGTAGGAGGGACCAAGCGGGGAGCAGATGAAGACAAGGGTTTTACGAGGACTGCGACAAACCGCCAGCTCGCAGACGAGCCGTATTGGCCGTGATTTGCTGTGTTATGCGCGGGGCGGGTCTGGGGACGAATTTCCAGATCCTCGCGGATCCGGCAAACGGCGACGAGTTGTACTGGCTGAGACCGGCTCGTCCCCTCTTGTCTCGATCCGACCAGCCAAGAGCCTTACTGGCTGAGACCGGCAGCTGCTGGGTATGCGCAGCGCTGCTCGGGACGAATCGGCTTGGCTGGGACCCTTTTCATGCCTCGTCCACGTTGTTTGAGGCTCCTTTAAACTGCTGTTCAGTTCATAGTGAGCGTGGTTAATTGTGTTGAGATTGATGGTGCATTTTGCTTAATAACGCCCTTCACGTGATGCCGTGCCGGGAATGCATGCCACCCATTGTAACTTCGCCTATCCGCCCCTATCATGCACTTCTACTGCTAGTTCATAGGCGAGGCAGAGTGAATGCCAGCGCTGTTCCCAGCCGCACAAATCCGCAGGTTTGAGGAAGTGATACGTATTCTGGATGATATCGGGACGCGCATTGGTTTCACATCATTTCGTGACGGGCTGATTGTCAGGAGTGCGAAGGCCTGCTCAGAGACATTCGCGAATCTCAGGAAGAGCAAACCGGCCTGTGAGAAGGCGATGGTGGCCCTCGAGCTAGTGGGAGCTGGTCTGGAGGGCGAGGGTTGAAACAGTACCCCAACAGCTGGAGCTCGTGGGTCAGGGAATATGAGGGCCTTAGGAAGCGCCCGCGTGAATCTTAGCCTCCTCTGCATGTGTACGTACTAATGTACCGTGCATGCCTGAACTCTACATGATATAACAACAACATACATTCCTTTTTCTCCTTTCCATTGCCCTTGTCTACTGCCCTCCTGGATCTTGCCTCTGTCCACTTTCCCCCACCATCCCCTCTCTAGAGGCCGCTGCCTCATCTCATTACCACTTCTTGTTGCCACTGCTGCTACTCTCTTTGTTTACCTTCAAACTACTGCGAATTTGCCTGTCAATTGCTCCTCCTCCAACCCCTTTTCCACTCCTACTACCTCCTCCACCGCCTTTTCCCTCCCCGCTTTGGACTTATTGCTTTTCTCACGCGCCTTGCACCTGAACCATCACCTCCATTCGCATATGATCATACTTAACTTACTCGTCAGCCTCATTTCGTTTCGTCTGCCACCCATGTTCTGTTGTTTGATCTGACTACCCATCCCTACCTTGGTCGCCTCCTCTGCACTCTGTACACGTCGATGTTCCTCCTGCTGCTGCTTATGTTCTTCTTCCCCTGCTTCTCTGTTCCCCTCCCTCTCCCTGATGTGCATGTTTGTTGGTCAGCTACTTAGGATTGGTCATGCTCCCCACATTCCCCCCCTCCCTCCCTCTCCCACCCACCCCCCTCTCCTTCCCCCTCTCCCCCCACCCGCCTTTTCCTCCCTTCTCCCCCGGCACCCACGCCTCACATTCTCCCAGGCCCCCTGCCCTCAGTCAGCCTGCTGAGCCGCCTCTCTTTCCGTCTTGGCCTATTTCGTCCCTCCCACCAACACCACCAACTGTCGCTCACTGTCCCCCGCACACCAGGTAGTGGTGTTGTCGTAAGCGGCATGACCCACCAGCTCCTGCACTGCAGCCCGGCTGCTCTCCTTCCCCTCCGTTGCCCCTTCATTTTCCACCCGTTGGCCGGCTGCTCCCCTGGGTTCTTGAGTGCATCTCATGCGGACTCCTGTGGTCTCCCCCAAAAGGAGAAGTGTGGGGAGAGGTGTGGGGATAGGTGTGGGGAGAGGTGTGGGGAGAGGTGTGGGAGTAATGGGTGTGGGAAGGGCAGGAGGTGGCGGAGAGGGGCGAGGTGGTGTTGGCTTGGACTTATGGGGCCTGTACTGTATGGGGCGCACATGGTACACCCTAGGCATGAGCATGGGCCGTGGCGTAGTCTGGGCCAGGCCGATATTTTATTAGTATTGGCTTACCTGAGCCTGCCCGGTCCTGCACGTTGGGCCGGTCATGGCTCGAGTTGTGGCCTGAGGTTTCCGGCATCTGTCCAGTCTGGGCAAAGTTTCGGCCCGGGTTGAGCCGGTCAGTTATGTGCGACCTGATCCACACGCGTCACATTTCGTGGGCACAACAAGCGGGGGTGTGTATGGGTGCGTCAAGGAGGGAGTGTGGGCGCAAGTAGGAGGGTGTGTGGACAGCAGCAGGGGCGCTGGTGAGCCGGGTGGGGGCCGGCCTGACCAGGCCTGACTGACCATAGCTAGAGTCAGCGCATAGATGGCCCAGCCTCATCTGGCGGGCCGTGGATCAACATCTCAGTAGGTCAGCTTGGGTCAGGTCTTTGAGGCCATCCCGTCCCACACCGGCCCAAGCCCGGCCCTCCTTTGCCAGGTCGGCATCGCGGGTGTTCAGTATGTGGGTTACAGCCTACATGTGACATGTTTGGATTGTGTTGAAAAGCGAATGAAGGTTGCTGTCATGCTGTTCTTCCCATTCCCCCTCCTGGCTCGCGTCTTTCCTGTCTCTTCTCCTCATTCACACTCTGCTAATGTGCGTTTGAGCTCACAGCATGCTTGTGGCCCGGCCCCATGCCTGCCTGCCTCCATTGCTGTCCTTGCTTTCGGAGCTTCCTCCCTCCCGTCCTCCTCCCTCTCACACCCAGCTAATGCGCTGCGGTGCAGACAGTATGTTCATGTGCTCATGCCTGCATCCCTTGCTGCCCTGCTTTCATACCCCTTCCCCTCCCCTATGGATCCTTCCTTCCCGGCCTCCCTTCCCCTCTCTTGAGCAGCTCCTGCCCCACTGGTACGGACAGTATGTTGGTGGGCACGTGGAACGACCTGGCGGAGGCGTTGGGGAAGGAAGATCAGCTGAGGCAAGCCGAGGAGGCAGCAGAGCCGGGAAGTGAAGCCAAGATCCCGCAGCCCCACCCATGGTGAACGGGGTGGGTGGATGGGTGGATGGCTGGATGGCTGGGTGCTGTGTGCGCATGGGCATGGGTGGGTGGATGGGTGAGGGCGATGCATGCATGTGCATGGTGTGGTGTGTGCATGGTGTGGTGTGTGCATGGTGTGGTGTGTGCATGGTGTGTGCATGGTGTGTGTATGGTGTGTGTATGGTGTATGGATGCATGGTGTGTGCATGGGGTGTGATTTGTGTGGACGGTTTACCATGCATGGTTTTCCAATGCAATTGTGCATGGTTAAATGTTAGGTACATTCCTTTTCATTCAGTTAATGTGGATGTGTGCGGGAGCACTGATGGACAATGCCGGCCTTCCCTACCAGCTGTCAGCACTCCCCTCTTCTCACCCTTATTGTCATGGTTTGTCTCCCCTCCTCCCCTCCGTCCCCCTTGCCCCCCTTTCCTTTACCCCCCACCAGCTGGACAGCCACATCGACTCACACATGCCACACTTTTACCTTCTCTGCACTCCCCGTTTCTCACCCATTTTTCCCTTCTCCTTCCTTCACCTCCCCCCTTCCTCCCCCTCCCCTTCCCCTCCCCACTCCCCCTCCCTCCCCCCCCCCTCTCTCCCCCCCTTTCTCCATATCCCATGCTCCCTTCTCCCACCAGCTCAACACCTGCATCAACTAACACGTGCGTTGGTTCGTTGGGGGCGGTCCACGGAGGGCAACGGGACTCCCTTCTTACCAGCTGGATTGCTGCAGCCTGGATCGACTCACATGGGCCTCGATGCAGGGAGAGTGCGGCAGTTGGTTCTGAATTTCCTGCTCAACACGATCCGACGGCAGTGCAGCTCTGAGTGCAGCAGATATTATTTCTTGGCGCCTGAAAAAACTACAAGTTCTTAAACAAAATAAATATTTAGAAGTTCACGGCTCATCTCGTACCTCATCCCCACGCCCCATCCCACACCTCAACCCATGCATCATCCCGTACCTCGTCCGATAGCTCATCCCATTATCCCATATGCACACCCCTTGGCACTCTCGTTTCTGAACCACTTTCTTTCCTCAATCCCTTCCCTCCCTTGTGTGCCCTTAACTCATGCGTACCCTTCGCTCAGTCACAGCATGTTCCTCCCGATGTGAGGGTACGAGATGGGTGACACGCAGCAGCAGAAGCGGAGTTGATAGTAGCCAGCCATGGGGTTGCATTGAGTGGAAGGGGTGTGGCTGTAGTAAGGAGGTGCAGTTGTGGCAGCAACTGGATTTCGTTGTCTTCCATTCATGCTAAACATTGACAACTGGCCCAAGTGGGACAAATTCTACCTTGCCCCGAAAGTCTGACTTGCGTAACTAGTTATTGGTGTACAGCGACTCAATCTGAGGTTCAGATCCTCATTACCAGCCCAATTCCCTTAAGGAATAGCAGGGACCTCAGTTCTCATGATACCACACGACAGCTATGCCATCCAGGTCAAGCATCTCAGACCCTATATTCACAATCTCAAAGGAACATGAAAAATACTGGGTAATACTGGGGCAGAATCAAAGGAACATGAAAAATCACACAGAATATACTCAGGTGTTCATGCTACTGACACTATGTCTTGCTACGGTATTTCCATCATACCCAACACACTATACCCTCCCCTTGGTGCAGATATTTGCAAACCCTGCACCCAAACAGCCAGGCATTTCTCATGCAGCCATGGGAGACATCTCAACCCTCGCCTGCTGCTGCTCTTGCCACTGCCCACTGCTGCCGCCACTGCTGCCGCCACTGCTGCCGCCACTGCTGCCGCCACTGCTGCCGCCACTGCTGCCGCCACTGCTGCCGCCACTGCTGCTGCCATTGCTGCAGCCAATACTGCTGCCCAGCTGCCGCCTCTCCCGCCGCCACTGCTGCTGTGCCCACCATGCTCGCCTCCCTCACTGTTCTCTTGCCCGCCCTTGTCCCCACCTTCCCGCCTCGCCTCCTCTTCCACTTCTGCTCTACGTGGCCTCACATCTCCACTTCCCCTTTCCTGTCCGCCCTGCTACTGACTGCTTCCCCCTTCATCAGAAAAATCATGGCCCGCAATTCCTATGCAGCTCTCTTCATGCACACTGTAGTCTCTTTCCCAAACAGCCTTGCATCTGCTTTCGCATGCATGCCTCCTCCGCTCTTCGGTCTTCCCTACCAAGACACAGCCACGTCCCCCCTCACCTCACAACCCTCTCCACCATCACTCCCTGCCACTCTACCTACTTATCAGTCTGCGTAAACCATCGTTTTGAAGGCAACCCCCTAATGGCATCCACAGTTCTGTCAGCTTGGTCAGGGCAGTCAGCTGCTGCAGCCCAGCATCCGTGACTGCTGTGCCATCCAAATCAAGCCTCTCAAGGCCTGTCAGCCTCCCCACATGCACCATACCAGCATTCATCACACCCCCGCACTTAGACAGCCATAACACTTTGAGAGAGGAAAGACCTGTCAAGTGCGAGAGGCCAGCATCGGTCACCTTGGTCCGGTGGAGGAAGAGGGTTTCGAGACTGGTCAAGGATCCAATGCCTTCCAAGGCACTGTCTGAGACGACTGTGCCACCTAGGTCTAGCTTCGAAAGTCGTGGCAGCCTGTAGAGGTGCTTGATGCCCTCTGCACTGAAGCCTGAGCTAGAGGTCAAGTCAATGCGCGTCAGGTGGGTCATGGTGGACACAAGGTGGAGGATGTCGCGGGAGAGGCTGTTGAGATTACTCAGCTTCAACTGGGTCACTTGTGATGCTGCCTTAATCGCCTATAGCAAACGGGAGGAGAGGGATTACATGACAATGAAAATACATGGCATGTGGAACAATGAAAGCCCCGCGGAACAGGATCCCAACACTCACCTTCAATGCTTTCTTCCGATCGCCTTCACTCTCCCTCATTTCCAACTCAATATTCAGCTTCATGTCTTGAACGTTCTGCCATTCCTTTCAAGCTACCAATTCCTCCATGGCACGGGGCCAATTCAACTCCTGCACCTCCCTCCTCCTTTCCTCCCTCTCCCTTGCCACCTCTGCTTTGATTTCATGCATTTCCTTTCTAACCTCCTCCCTTAAAACTCTCAAACCTGATTCCATTCTTCTCCCAGCCATATCCCATTGCTCCAACATAGCTTCCTCTTGTGCAGCGAGCTCCCCCTTCACTGCATCCACCTCTCCTTTCACTGCAGTCACCTCTCCCTTCACTGCATCCACCTCTCCCTTCACTGCATCCACCTCTCCTTTCACTGCAGTCACCTCTCCCTTCACTGCAGTCACCTCTCCCTTCACTGCAGTCACCTCTCCCTCCACTGCTGCAACCTCTCTCTTCACTGCAGTCACCTCTCCCTTCACTGCAGTCACCTCTCTTTTCACTGAAGTCACCTCCCCTTTCACTGCCGCCAAATTTGTCTCCCTCGCTTGCACATCGTCCAGGGCGTGCTTCAACGAATTCACCTCATTCTCCACAGCCCACTTCCCTGCTTTCAACATCAACACTCGCTCATTCTGCCATGCCGCCTTATCTGTCACTGCTGCCGCCATTTCTCCCTTCACTGTAGCCAAATCTCCTTTCACTGATGCCAACTCTCCCTTCACTGATGCCATTTCCCCCTTCACTACTGCCAATTCCCCCTTCACAGAAGCCATTTCCCCTCTCACTATTGCAAACAGCCCTTTAACTGCCGTACTAAGCTCATTCACCTCCCGTTCCGCAGCCATCATCTCAATTTGCACCCAACAAGCGTACAAACAGGGTTTGTGGCTGATTGGTTTCAGCCAAGGTAGCTTCAGCCCTGGAAAGTGGACAGGAGTGTAAACAGTGGACGATAAGGAGCGAAGGATGAGCATTGGTAGCGACTTCGTCACAGTGAGGTGCAGGCGGGCAAGTGGAGGGTGGGATGCAGCAGGAGAAGGGAGAGTGGTGGCAGGAAAAGATAGTCAGGTTGTGTACTGAGTGGACAGGAGGAGAGGGATGAACAACATATGCATGGGGGGTGAGAAAGGGAAAGGAGGGGGGGTATAAGTAGGGGATTAGTAGGAGATCTGCTCGCAGGTCGATAGAGTGCAGCGAGAAGAAGTCATGATGGCCGATTACGGACCTCTTGAGGTGAGTGGCGAGCAAAGAGATGGATGGCGAGGACTGGAGCACCTTGTGAGGTGACCCCAAGAATGGATCGGACTGGAGCACCCAAAGTGGAAAGCGCAATCTGGTGGGAAGCAAGAGACACGGACAGGCCGAAAATGCATAAATTCCTTCAAAGCATTGGATCTTATGACAATGGGAGAAAGCAAATGGTTGGTTAAAGACACGGTCTCATGTATGGGTTGGCCGTGCAACTGCATAGCACTTGGGCGAAAGGTGGGTTCTTTGGCAATACTCGATACGACAAAACTTTGGCCCAGATTGGTAAACCAATCAGACATGCCCTTTTTCCCTTTTTACCCTTATTTTAAACGAACTCTGGTGACAGAAGTAGCAGTAGCAAGTTGACGAGGAGCAGATGGGGCGAGTTGGATATGGGACATGGGAAGAAGTGAATACAGATCGGTAGAAGCAAGCTGAGCTGAATAGAAACATTTGGCAAGGCAGGGGTGGAAGGCAAGGAGCAGAACGCTTGAGAAAAGCGAAGTAGGAAAGCACAGGGGAAGAGAGCAAGCGGTACTGACACAATAGAAGAGGGCTGTGCGTACCTTGTGCGTGTGAAGAGCAGGTGAGGCAAATGGCAGCGACGAGAAGCTCGTTGGGCTTCTCAGCAAGCCAGTGGGGAGAAAGGTTGTGAGAAAGATAAACGCCACGGTAAGAGACGGAGAGGAAGTAATGCTGGCAGGAGGAATTCGGCGGGATTGCAAAAAAAAAAAACTTGATGCTGGCTTCTCTTCAGAAGGAAGAGCGAGGGGAGGAGAGACGGGCGAGGGAAAAGGGGGAGAAAGAGCGAGGAAGAAGCAGGGAGTCAGGATGATGGAACGAGGGAGGCATGCCACCTCTGAGGTGCCATGGTTCATGCATGGCACGCGCTTCGTCACCCATCATTCATTCGCGCCGCACGCCTTCCCCTCTCATCGATCATGGGTTACTCCCAGTTCGTCAATCCCTCGTCGTTCCAAATCCAACCCATCGCATCGACGAGCCGCGCACAGCACTCTATCGCGGGTATGCTTTCGACGGAGTGGATATTGTCCATGCAGTGAAAGCTACATCATGCTATTCGCCGCGCCACTTCATACGAACCATGACATGGGTAAACTCATCCCCACAGCGTCACCCTCGCCGTGGCGTCGTGACGTGCCGGTGTCATGACGTGGCACAGCGACGGTGCCACACCGCACCCCGTTGGCATGCAGTGCTTGCGGGCTGTCATCGTTGGAAAACACGAGTGATCGCGACCCTTGACTTAATCGTCGCCTCCAATGCACTCGATAAATCGACCGCGCGACGTTTCCGACATCTCTACCCTTCCTGCATCTTCCTTATAAAGAAATAAGGCTGTCACGTCATTTTGATATGGTGAGTGATGAATGTCGAGAACATTGCATGGTTAGGGTTGCGTCAGGAGGGCTGGTCAAGGTTGCGTTTGAACTCATTACTTGCAAGAGGTAACAAGTGCAGGACTATTTGGACACTCCCTTCAGCACCCTCAATGGCACATCTCGACCGTACGGCACCGCGCTGACTTCAATCTGAACCCTCTACAAGTGTTCAGGCTTCCCCTTCGCCCTAGCACACGCAGGCAAACTGCTACGCAGTCACATCTGCGTTGACACGAAACTGGCCGAATGTTGAATAGGTCCCTCGGAATCTCTTGATCCATTTAGGACCAGGACTAAAAATCTCGAGCTCCCAGCCAACCGTCGAACAAAGCCATACCAATTTCGAGCCGTACGAGCGCCATCATGTTTAGAAGGCCTAGCGACGTTCGCGGGAAGCAGCGTTTGTCAGGAGCGGACAGAAAGAAGCTTCGGCGAAACATCCGAGACAAGTTTCCAGGCACCACTGACGAGCAGCTGGAGGCGATCCTGCCGGCCAAGGTGCTTCTTAGTAGCTTCCCGCTTTAACCTCGTATTACCCCGCAGTTATCCTCCACGTAGGCCCACGCATTCGCCTTCTGATAACCCGCGAGTTGAATCCTCGCTGTTCGTTGAACCACTTCGCCCTTAATCCGCCCCGCTGTCGTTAGTGGTTGAAGGTTCTTCTTCCGGAATTTCCACGCCTTCTTTTCACGGAAGGCCGTTTGGTATGTCTGCTGGTCCAGGCTGACGTGGCGGTGACGAGGCTGGTGAATCGCGTGCTGGTGTACGGACTCGAGAACGGGCTGCCCATGCTTTTCGATTGCGACGGCAGGGGCAACGAAATATATCACACTGGTAACCACACGGAGATGTAACCACACAGATACCCATCCTCCACACACCCCTCGCGTGCTGGTGTACGGACTAGAGAATGGGCTGCCCATGCTCTTCGATTGCGACGGCCGCAGCACGGAAATCTACCCCACTGGTAACCACTGTTAACCCCACTGATAACCCCTCTGTAACCCCACTGATACTTGCGGGAACCCCTCCTTCCCCACCCTCTCTTTTCTTCCCCTCCCGTCCCGCTCCTCTCCACTATTCTTCTTCCCAACCCTGTAATGAATCCTTAGGTTTGATATTTCCCCCTTCCTCCACTCCCATCCATCTTGCGACGTCTTGTACCAACCCTGACACACCCACACCCTGCAACCTCACTCTGCAAGCAACCTCACACCCCATCGGTTCACAGTGTTTGTGCAGCGGAGGGCGCCCGACCTGCTGCCATCCCTCCTGCTTAAGGGTGAGGAGGTGGCGTTTGAAGCGACTCAAGAATCAGCTGTCACACCGATCCTCTCACCCCAACCCTGCAACCCCACTCACTCCCCATCCATCCGCAGTGTTTGCACTGTGGCGTGTACCCGACCTACTGCCATCGTTCCTTCTCACGGGCGAGGACGTTTCCCGCTATCTTCTTTCGGGGGCTGACCTTATGGCGCCAGGCGTGCAGGTACGGTGAGGAGGGTACAGTGGAGGCAGCACCTACCTAGTGCAATGCAAGCTCTTGTTTCCGATTATTCTACTAAATTTATGAAAATTTCTGCAAAACCACCACACATGGTCCTTAACCCTCCCTCCTCTCCCCCCCGTCATTAACCTTCCACGCTTCTCTTCTCCTCTTCCCCACCCCCCTTCTCCCCGAACCCCTGCTGTCCCCCCTGGTCCCCACCTACAATGTCCCCGGCAGGTGCCTATCGAAGGTTTGCCAGCGTTCCAAAAAGGGGAGGTGTGGTCAGTGAAGGTTCCAGGAAACTCCTGCCCCGTTGCTGTACGTGTAGTGTGCCTCTCCCCTTGCATCACAATCCTCCCATCCTGCTCCATGCTCCACGTTACTCTCCTTTCTACACCCACAGTGACCATGCTCTACATCTCGCCTTACCCTTTGCTCCCGCCTGCTCCATTTTCCATCCATTGCATCGCAATGCTCCTCCAGTGTGGTTGGTCGCACATCTGCCATTGTTACCTTTCTACTGTTTGTTTGTCTCAAGTGACGTCGTGTTGATCTATGTGCTTCCAGTCCTCCCTTCTTCGTGTCACCTTCCCTCCCGTCCGCGCTCTCTTGTCGGGACTTCTTGACTTATGGGGTGCATCAAAAGTGACGCTGTCTTTCAATCCACATTTCATAGTGTCTACTTCCCTCTTTCCGCGCTCTCGTCGGGGCTTCTTGGCAGTCGTGACGCATGCCAGCTACAGAAGGAACTTGGTTGAGTGGAAAACACTCGCAGCACAGTAATGAGCAACGGTAGCGAATCAGATTCAGAATCTGCTGGAACAAACACTAAGGGACATTCAGCTTCACTCTGCAGAAGCTTGTAATGCGCACAGCTACTTCCCATTAATGCGCAGTTTTTGTTCTTATTTCTCATGTGCATGTGTGAGGATGGATTTGCACACGTGTGTGTGTGTGTGTGTGTGTGTGCGTGTGTGTGTGTGCGTGCGTGCGTGCATGTGTGTGTGTGTGTCTGTGTGTGTGTGTGTGTGTGTGTGTGTGTGTGTGTGTGTGTGTGTGTGTGTGTGTGTGTGTGTGTGTGTGTGTGTGTGTGTGTGCATGTGTGTGTGCGTGCGTAAGTGTGCACGTGCGTTCGTGCGTGCGTGTGTGTGTGCGCGCGTGTGTGTGCTTGTGAATGTTCGTGTTCACGCACACCAGGTGGGCATTACAATGTTAGGGAGAGAAGAGGTTATCCAAGCAGGCGTGAGAGGAAAGCTTTTCAGAATAACCCACTCTTACCGCGATTCGTTATGGTCAGTTTGGCTGAAATTTGAGGCGCTCGCTTAAAAAATCGCCTCGCTACTACAAGCTCCTCCGAATATCGTTGTGAAAATTTATGGTCAGTATGACTAACAGCCATTGCTCTTATTCAGAGTGCTCCTAGCGTAGGTGGAGTGTCGCACTATGGTGATGGCTTGTTTCCTTACATATGTCACCTGAGCAATCTCAAAATACAACAGAAGCCAACTGTTACCTGAGCTCACGCCAGCAATCTGTGGTCAATTCGACCCCTACAAATATCTCAACCCCTATAATGATTGGTCTGTTTTCCCCCATTGAGTGGTCTGCGATTTTGACCCGTCGTTTTTTTTTTTTTTTTTTTTTATGAGGGTCTGTCTGTGGTCAAGACCATCCCTGTCTATTAGTGCTCAACCTAATTTTACCGCCAGCCGTCTATCTTCTGGTGGTCCAACATTAGTTGACCCCATTCTCCTGTCCTACGGATACCCTTTCACTTCCCACCCACTAAAAACTTTGGATATTCACATATGGCCCCTCCCTCCGCTGCCCTCCCATCCTGCCCTCCCTCCCCTGCCCTCCGATCCTGCCCCCCCTGCGGTGGTACAGGGAGTCTGCAAAAGGATCATATGTGCCCAACAAGGGCTTCCTGCCAGATATGGTTGCGTCTGACCCTGATGCACAGCCCACACTGTTGGATGCACCACCTGCTGTTGCACCTGATTCACCTGAAGGTTCACCTGAAGATTACTCTGGTGCTGCTGCAGGTTGTAGAGGAGAGGGTGAGGGTAGGAGTGATTGGGAGGTAGGGGCAGCAGCGGTGGCTAGGGAGGGACTATCAGCAGTGGCAGCAGCAAGCGGAGGAGAAGGAGCAGCAAGCGGAGGAAAAAGAGCTACAGCAGAAGCGGCCGCAGGAGCAGAAGGAGCAGCAGAAGGAGCAGTAGCAAGAGATTCATCAGAGCGCCTATCAGAGTCTCTGCAGGAACAGTGCATCCGTGGCAGTGCGGTCGCTGCTGCTGGAGCTACTGCTGCTGCTGTTGCTGCTGGCGATGCTGCTGGTGATGGTGATGCTGCGGCAGCTGCTGCCACTACTGCTGTTGTGGGCAGGGAGGGGGATAAAAAAGCAGCTGGTGCAGGCGAAAAGTGCTCACCTGCAGCAGCGCCATCAGCACTGATGCCGGCACAAATGGATGAGCTGTTGGATCTCTGTCTGCTGCAGGCCCTCTCTGTCTCTGTCAAGCCCTCACACCTGCCCCTGTCAGCTAGCTCCCTCTGGTGAGCTGCCCAACATCAATCATCTCATGACCTTTTGGTCGTTCTTTGGTACTTCAGCCTTCCAGCTCTCTTCATTACAGGTGATTGGAGCATGGGACAAGGGTGGCGGCTTGAATTGCGTGTAGCCACGGATTTCCCACAAATCTTGTAGCTCATGGCAGTTGGCATGGCATGACATGTCGGCGCATGGTCTCGTGTGTCAAGTACAAAGTGCATGTCATGTGAGCCATGTACATGGTGGCAGGACAGCAACGACAAAGTGCATGTCATGTGATTCCTTGCTATCCTGCCACCATGCTATTGGTGCTGGCAGGGCCAATCACGTGCTGCCATGTCGGCCGCCCGGCACAACAATGGACATCAAGAAGTCATCTCACAAGAAGCTGAGCAAGTGGTTGCATGCCAAGGCTGTTGATGGGCTGGTGAGTGCCTGAATGATGGTGTTCTGAAATCGAGTGAGCTTGTGTACGAATGTGGTTACAAATTTTGAGTGAATGAGTGCGTTTGATTGATTGGGTGAATGTGTTTGTGTGGGTTTGGGTGAATGAGTGTGTCTGATTGTTTTGTGTGATTGAGTGTGTCTACGTTTCTTTGTGATTTCATCACTTGTACTATGCTCATTCCCTCTACCCTGTGCATCTATCTATCCTTTGCACCTTCACAATCAGAATGCCCTCCACTTCGCTTCACTGAACTACACCCACCCTTGCAAAAAAAACATATCAACCTGGCAATACAATATCACCCATCCTTACCCTTGCACCCATCTATTCACCTCTGCACATGGTCAGATATGTGGCAAGGAGGACAAGCACCGCAAGGAGTTCATCATCTCGTCTGTCAACCACCGCCACCAGTCCCTCCTCGCATTCTGGCCATATAAGACAGCCCAAGCCCCCCCCAGGACTGCACCCCAAGGCAGCTTAGGGATAGCTACTGAAAGCGCCACCGTCACAGCCACCACGACGGTAGAAGAGTTGTTCAAACCGTCTCCCCACGTGGCTCCTGTCTTTGAGTCCGTAGGGCTCGACCCACACGCCTTCTACTCCCCCTCGGCTGTTCGCAACGCAGCGCTTTCCTACATCTCCCTCCACTCCCTCTCCGAGCCCTCCAACCCCTCTATAGTCGTCCTCGATGCAACTCTCTGCGACGCACTGTACAAAGGTGCAATAAAAAAGGGTGTGCCATACCCTGCACAGTGTCCTAAGAGAGACATAGTCCCCTTGTTACTGCAGCGAATGCAGGCGCAACACAGGGTGGAGAGGGGGGGAGGAGCGTGGAGCGGAAGGGGGAGCTGGAGCCTGTGGAGATATTTGTGAGGGGGCGACAGGGCAGCAGGAGAGTGACACGGGTGACAGGCGTGGAGGCTTATCCGGTGGAGGCTGAACCTCTTGCTGCTGAGCTGCAGAAGAAGTTTGCTTCAGGCGCGTCTGTGGCTCAACTGCCAGGTGGGTTCACCTGCAACAGGTGGGTTCACCTGCAACGGGTGGGTTCACCTGCAACGGGTGGGTTCACCTGCAACGGGTGGGTTCACCTGCAACGGGTGGGTGCACTGTGCCAGCCATGCGAGTATGGCCATGCAGAGCTGCAGAAAAGCTAGAGGAACCCGTCCCTGCTGCAGATGTTTCGTGCGTCATATCGTCTGCTGAAATTCCCATCTTCCATTCCACCCTTTCTTCTGTAGTCCTATTCCCCCTCATTTCCCACTCCCCTCCTGTTTCCCCATTTTCATTCATCCCTTTTTTTTCCACACCACCCACTGCTTTCATTCTTTGCCTCTTCTTTCCCCTCTGCATATTGCCTTTGCCCTTGCTTAACACAGGTAAGAAGGGGCAGCATGAGGTGTATATTCAAGGAGGATTCTTGGACAAGTTGTCTCGACTGCTTGTGGATGTGCATGGCATCCCAAAATCTTATGTGACGGCAAATGATTATACAAGGAGGTGATGCATGTAAGCATCGTGAAAATCTTGTACATACGGTACCGTACTGCAAGCGCCCGTTTAGTGGACCCCAGACAACGTTTCATACCGTATGTTTATGTGCATCATACATGTAGTTTGCAAGAAGGGTAAAATAGGTTGAAGTGACTGATGAAATGGTTCAAGGGGGGTGAGTGGAGACCTTGAAACTGAGGAGCAAAAGACAAAGGAGAAAATGGGTCAGCGTGCCATGGGTCAGTGTGCCATTCCTGCATTCACTGCCACCTGCTGCTGGTGCAGCCCGTGGCTCTGCTATGCTGCAGGAGAAAGTTTTGAAGGGGTTACTTGAGAGAGGAAAGGAGAGGGGCGCGGTAGAGGCCTAATAAGGGCATTCTGCCTCGTCTTAAAACCGCGGCCAAGATGAGGTTAGATAGGGTGCAAAGCATTACCAAAATCAGTTGATGGAATGTTGTCGTGTGCATACGACATACGGCATTCAGGCCATGTTATTCAGAAAAGAAGCACTGCGCATTGCAACTCTCATAATCTAGTCACAACACAACTCGCCAATAAGCACCATCAATGTCAGCGTACACAAACCACACTCATTATGAACATCACCTCTGAAGAGCCGCAAAAGACTGCAGTGTAGGCATGAGCAAGGGTCCGAGCCAAGTCGGCTCGTTGTGAGGCGCAGCGAGCCAAGCCGGCAGCTGACCTTTGCTCATGCTCATAGCTCATCGTAGCCGGGATGAGCTGGTCTCAGCTCGTTACTGACCCAGTCAAGATTATTGCCGTCTGCTGGGCGAATGGGCTGCACTGCAAGCACCATGCCGATGATCCAAGGAAACAACAAGGCATTTTGTGGCCATTTAGCCAAGCGCAAGTATGGATCAGCTTGGACCTCGCGAGCCGAGTTCGGCGCAAGCATGGTGGAGGCAGACTCTCTGTAGAGACAATCTCGGCTCGCGAATGGGCTGTCGGCTCGTCGAGTCAGCTTTGAGGAGCCAGGTCGCGGCTCACCGAACCAGCTCGGCTTGACTTGGTCAAGCAGGCTGGGAATAAACGTGGGGTTGGCTTGTCGACTTGGCTCGCCACTCTGCTGAGAAAGGTCCTTCCCTGTTGAAGCAACAGAGAGCACAACCTCGAGAGGCACCGAGTGGCTCTCGACCTTGGATAGGTCCATTGCGACGAAGCTGATTCGGACAAGCCTGCCTTCCCACATACAAACGATGAGGGACGTTCAGAACGGCAAATCAGCCACTCTCACCATACCTGACTGGGATAAAAAATATGAGGGAATCGGAGGGGAAAGGTGGGAAAGAGGACAAGAAAAGCGAGAAAAACGGATGTGGAAGAGGGACGCGGAAGGTCACATCCAAGGTGCTGCCTTTTCTTCCCTCCCACGCCCACCTCTTGGCCCAAGTGCAGCACACCCACATCCAAGGTTGTGCCTCTGCTGCCAGAGTGCAGCACAGAATGGTAGCCACTGCCCTCATTGTCCCTCGCCCCTCACGCTCATCATTATCCTCCTCCCCTCAAGCCAAACCCCCCGCCACCTCACCCACAGCCTCGTCAACCCTCTCTTTGCTCCCACACCCGCCTTCCCCACCCTCCACTCACCATGCCCACGCACCACTCACCACGCCCACGCACCACTCACCTCCCCAATGAGAAACAGTGCGTGAGCAGATGCGAGCGGGCGGCATGGAGGGAAGGCAATCCCTGGGAGATGGCTTCTGCCGCCCTCTGCTGCACCAATGGGCATGGGCAGTGGGGTCGGGACATGGGCAGGAGAAAGACAAGAGGAAAGGGGGGAGAAAGAGAGAAGAGATTGGTGAGAGAGGAAGTGCCGCTGAAGAGAAATAGGGTTGAGAGAAAGGGCAAGAGGTGCGGACAGGGAAAGGAAATGGGTTGGCGGGAGCGGAGGATCGTTCAACAGCAAGTCGGCAGTGGCGAAAGAGGAGGTGATTGAGAGAGGGCGGGCCGCTGCGAGAGGGAGTAAGGAGGACACACAGCGAAAGAAACATGGGTTTGGGCTCGGGAATGTAAAGATTGAGTTATTGGGAAATCGGGCACGGGCATGGTGTGCAATACGAGATGAGCATGGGAATGCGGCATGGGATTGTGGTTGTGCGCTCCAGAGAAGCACCAGCACCTGCAGCTGCAGTGTTGGCATGTGAAGCACGAAGGGGCATGGCGCTGCCTATTGTGTGGCGCAGCCCGTACTGGGGAGCCTCGTGGCGGCAGGGATGCGTGGCGAAACAGGCAGTGGCGTCGTGGCGCCGCGTGAGCCACACAGAGGGCCGCGATGGAAGAGGAAACAAACGCAGCACGATGCTTGGCAGCTCATGCGTGCTCATGCCCCGGGAGAGTTGAGTTGGGGGGAACGGGAGAGGAAGGGTGGGGATTGACGAGAGAGGGGGGAGATGGGGGGAAAGGGGGAAGATGGGGGGACGGGGGGGAGATGGGGGGAGGGGGGGATGAGGGGAAAGGGGGAAAACGGTGAGATCGACGATGTGGGCGCATCCGTAGTGAAAGCTTTGCGCGCAATTTGGGTAGAACAAGGTGTTTTCTCACTTCAAACTCATCGCCTCCACTCCATATGCGCTACCACTGCTGGTGAGTTCACCCCAACTGCCTGAGTGTGGGAGCGTTTGAGAAACACAAAACCATCAGCGGGAAGGGAGGTGAGGTGGGCAGCGCGAGCCGCGATCACGCTGGCTGGCAGGCGGAGGGCAGGTGCGCAGTGCGAGGGATCGGCGCGTAAGGAGAAGAGACGGCGGCGCGGCAGGAGAGACGGCGGGGTGACGGGCTTGACGACGAGTAGAACAGTTGACGCCTATCATATCTTTCGAGCAACCCATGTGTCAACCGCTGGTGAGTGGTGCACAGGCGGCGGCAGAGGGCGTGCCGAGTGGAAAGCGGCGCGTCGTTGCTCCCTCACCCCCCACATTGCTGACAGCGAGTCGGGGCACAGTGAAACTCGGGGCGATACATTGAGAATGCAATGATTGAAATCTGTACGGAATGAGTTCTTTGATCTTTATGACCGTGTACGCGTTCATGCAGCATACCACTGTAGCAGCAGCGATGTTGGTCCAATGAGCTGTGGCTGTGTGAACGTGGCCCGTCATACCTGCTCGACTGAAAGCACAACTCCAATCTGCGAGAATAAACAGACAGTGAAGAGGATCATAATTGTATCGAAAAAGAGTCTCTGTTACGAGCACTGGAGGTGCTGCTGCAGCTACAGTGGAGCCCACACTGCTGCCAGAACTCGTGCTTGATTATCCCCGTGGTTACCCCTCCCCCTCCCGTGCTCTCCTGGCCCGCGGTTACCCGTTGTGCTGCCTCCACCACTCCAGACGACAGTCGTCGCGTCCTTTCGCTGCCTCTAGGGGAAGGCAACGAGGATCGCGCGGCGACACCGCTGCTCAAGGGGAAGGCAACAGCAGTGCTGGTTCTAGGCGGGGAAGAGAGGAGGCGGAGGCGGAAGCGGAGGCGGAAGCGGAAGCGCCGCGGAGTCGCCTCTCATCGGCCTGCCACATGCAGCGCTGCTTCTACGCGAGGATCGCGCAGGACTGCATGCGGAGGAGCGATGTGCGGAGGCTTTGCGAATACTCCCCGTTGCGCGCAACCTCCCAGGAGAGCAGACGCTGATTGGTGCGCTGAAACGTCAGCTGCTTCCATGCTCGCGATTGGCTGAGGAGGAAGCGATTAAGGATGAGACAGCGGGTGGACCGTCGGCGGGAAAAGCGTCAGTGGGGGGAGAGGAGGCGGAGGAAGAGTCGGTGGGGGAAGAGGAGGAAGTGACAGCGGAGATCGCGTTGATGCGGAGCGAGCGGATGTGATCGGAGCAGTCGGCGGGGAGTGAGCAACTGGGATTTGGAATTTGGGAGCGACGCTGCTGCTGACTGCGGAAAACTGGCCGCGGCGTGTCGTATCGCTGCGCCACGGAAGAAAGCCGCAACAAAAAAAGCCGCCGCGCGCGGCTTTGAGGTATATGACGTCGCCGGTCGAATCTGCTCGAGGGTAATAGCCCCACCAGCTTCCGCGCTTCCGCGTTGCCACAGAAGCCGACATCAGCCGAGATGGTTCTGACGGGTGTCAGAGGTGCTTGGCTGAATTTTCGCAGTTGTAACAACTTTGTCGCGTGATTTCGCCACCCCAAACCTGTACTACCAAACCAACCAACCGAAGCTCACCCCGAAAGTAGTTTGGTTTGGTGCGAGTACAGAACAGACCAACTTCCAAACCAACCTCCACTTTTACCGCCAAACCATGCTCCTCACCTTCCATCGTGCTGGACTGAACCAAACCACAGCCATTCTGCCCCCAACAACCAACCTCCAGCTTCGAGCTGGTGCAGAAACAACGGTTGAGAACGACGCTGAGCAGCCTGGTTTGGTTAATTTGCTTTGGTTTGTTTCCTGGTTAGTTCTCTTTGGTCTCTTTGGTCTCTTTGCTCTCTCTGGTCCACCTAGATGGATCTGCGTTCACAAGTTGCTGCAGCCAAGTCACGTGTAGTAGTGCTCCATATAGCATAGGAGCTGCGACCTGATTACGGGAGTGTCGAAAACAGCTGGGTGAGCATAGCAGATCACACTCGCGTTTGTGCTACTCCAGGTGTTCGCTGCAGGTCGTAGGATCTTTGGTTGTCGCTAGGCAGTACGTTACGATTTTCGGTGATTGAGGCTACTGGCTCTAGTTTGGAGGGAAATTACTCGGGCGCGGAGCTTTCACGCTGATTGTTATTGTCTCCATGGGTGACATGGAGTCTCCTAGAACCCACATCGACCATCTCACCGACGACCACTTGATTAGCATCTTTTGGAACGTACTTCCATTAAAATCGTACAAATCCAAGAGCGATGATCTCTGGAACTTCCTTCCTTTCAAGCCCAAGTACGTCTCCAACGCCAACCCAGAGCTCTCACTCGTAACGCCTAGAGACTCTCCCATGCCGACCCCTCCAGCCTCCGCAGATGCCGCTCATAACCTCCTCATCGCCTCGATCTGCCGTCGCTGGCGGCGTCTCGCTAAGGAGCATGTCTCATCGCTCCTAGTCAAGGAAGACCGCGTCGTGTCTCACCGCGATTTGCTCAACGCCGTCGCTTGCTTCCCGAATTTGACCCATCTGCATCTCTCGGACGGAAGTGTTGAATCTCTGGACAACACCTTTCTAGCTGACCTCGCCGCTTCGTGCCCTGGGCTGAGAGCGCTTCACGTGGGGAAGATGACGTTATTTGCGGGCAAGGGACGACCTGGTTGGAAGGGCGCCCGCCTGATAGGCAAGTTCGGCTTGGAGCATCTCGCCCGTCTCTGCCCTCACCTGGAGCACCTGTCGCTGGAGTGGCTCGATAGCTCTGCCAAGCCTCCAGACTCTCTCTTTCAGCTGCCGTTGCGCACCCTCGTCTTGAACAATAAAGCTGACTTAACGATTCCAAAAGTCAGATCCCTTTCGCCGTCTCTCACTGCACTCTGCTCTGGAACTTCCTTCCTAGACTACGACCAGCTTTCCACCATCCTTCGACTCACCAACCTCACTCGCCTCTCCTTGTCTAAAACCATCCGTTTTCCCAGATCGCGTGACGTCGCACTCGCACAGCTACCTTCTCTCGAGTCATTGGAAGTAAAGCTTTTTGATAGCTTAACAGACATTTTCCTGCCCAACTTTCAATATAGGTCCTTGAAACGGCTGCAGCTTACCTCTGGCTACGGAGAAGAGCGGTTCCCAAACAGTTTTGCAGAGCTGCTGCCGTGCCTCCAAGAGCTCAGCATCAGTAACTGCAAAAACATCAGCGACTGGACTGACCAGTTCACCTCTTTCACCTGCCTGGAGAGCTTGACCATTTCTGGATGCAACGTGTCCTTGCTGCCTGAGAACATGGGGGATCTTCCAGCCTTGAAAACTCTTGTGCTGGACGAGTCAAGGCTTTGCCGTCTCCCTGCTTCCTTCACCAGCCTCACATCTCTGGAGACGTTGCTTGTGCTTCATTTTTTATGGGATGATCTACCTGCAGGACTTGGTTGCCTCACAGCACTCCGGACTCTATCTCTTGTGTGCTCCCGATCCCCGAACCTGGACCTTCAAGAAGACTTGGTGGGGCTGACGAGTCTCCAAACCTTTCGTCTCCAACAGTATCTCAGAGAGCAGCTGCCGCCCTCATTCACGCAGCTGGCGTCGCTGACCAGGTTGGAGCTGGATGAGTGCAGTCTTGTTGGCCTGCCAGAGGGAGTTGGCACCATGGCAAGGCTGCAGGAGCTGTGTATTCACGCTTGCCCTGACATTACTGGGATTACAGAATCTGTCACAAACCTTGTTAACCTTCGGGTGCTCATCATAGACAAGTGTCCCCATTTCTCGTCACTTCCCAGGAGGCTGGACAGCCTTACCAGCCTCACACAGCTGGAGGTGAGGGGATGTGAGCTGCTGAACGAAGCCCCTCAGGCTCTGCCGCTCAGACTTCAGACACTGATCTTCAAAAACAAGCAGCAGATGGTGTCTCTCCCAGACTTAGCGACTCTTACAGAGCTCAGGAAGCTGTGCTTGGGCATCGTGGGTGCAGAATGTGTTGAGGACATCGGTGGGCATCTCTCTGGGCTGGAGCACCTGGAGGTACAGCTGGTGCTGGGAGGAGAAGGCGCCGAGGAGACTCTGTCCGCGTTGACAAGGCTTTCTTGCCTCCACACCTTGACACTTAAGGGGGATTGCAGCTTCAAAAGACTGGTGGAGTGTGACGGCGAGGGATTGCTGGAGCTGCGGCAGCTGAACATGGACACCACGTGTGATGAATTCACAGAGCTGCCTGCGACCTTCACCACTCTCAACCACCTCACATCCCTTCAGATCCACGCGCCAAAGTTATCCTCCCTTCCAGAAGCCTTAGGGGCACTCTCAAGACTGCGCAAGCTGAACTTATCCAACTGCTCATCCCTCACACACCTCCCTGCTTCCCTCACGCAGCTCTCCTGTCTGCATGAGCTGAACGTCAGCAACACCAGCATCCGGCTGCTTCCGCCTGGCTTGACTCAGCTTAGCAGACTGAGGAGGCTGGATGTTCACAGCTGCAAGCACCTGGAGGCTCTGCCTGACGACATATGTGAGCTCAGAATGCTCGATCACTTGTCCACTAGGTGGTGTGACGAGGTCCAGCACCGAAGGTGCCTTTCACACTCATGAGATAGATCCCTAATATGATGCAAGCATACTCAGGCTCGTTCACAAACTTGCAGTCACAATCATTTAAGTTATACCAGTAATTATTTAGGAGGGTAGAATTTGCAGATTGTAAGGTTAAAAACTCATATTTGACCGACTGAACTTCCTTTTCAGCCTTCTAGGAGGTTGAAAGCACTCTTGCAGCGTTCTCCTTGCTCAAAGTCTACATTTGCACATGGCATATGTAGAATATGACGTAAAAACGGACGGGATGTTGTAAAGGTGTGCAAGGGATTGATGCGCCACACTATACATGAACACTGTCAAGCTTAAAGTATTGGCGATGTGTCACATAACTGTGTCATGACTCCTCTAGAGTTCTAGGGTTGGGCTGAAGAAGAAGAAGAAGAAAAATTCCGGCACTGTCTCATCAAACCCTCCAAACCCCGATACCCTCTTTACCAACTTGCTTCATATAACCCTCCCTCTCCCCTCCTTCACCCCTTTCTACTCACTGTCATTCCAGCAGGACCTATCTCAACCTCATGGGTCTCACGGGTCTTGTGGGTCACATCACATTGCATAATAGCAAGGCAATGTCCTGGATAAGGGGGAAATGGGAGAATGTGAAGCAGTGGTCGGGCGAGGCAGGGTGAAGGGACAGTATTACAGGTGGTAGCAGCAGGTGAGGAGGAATAAGGGTGGTTGCAGCAGGTAAGGCGGAAGAAGGGTGGTAGCAGCAGGTGAGGAGGAATAAGGGTGGTTGCAGCAGGTTAGGCTGAAGAAGGGTGGTAGCAGCAGGTGAGGAGGAATAAGGGTGGTTGCAGCAGGTTAGGCTGAAGAAGGGTGGTAGCAGCAGGTGAGGAGGAATAAGGGTGGTTGCAGCAGGTAAGGCGGAAGAAGGGTGGTAGCAGCAGGTGAGGAGGAATAAGGGTGGTTGCAGCAGGTAAGGCGGAAGAAGGGTGGTAGCAGCAGGTGAGGAGGAATAAGGGTGGTTGCAGCAGGTTAGGCTGAAGAAGGGTGGTAGCAGCAGGTGAGGAGGAATAAGGGTGGTTGCAGCAGGTTAGGCTGAAGAAGGGTGGTAGCAGCAGGTGAGGAGGAATAAGGGTGGTTGCAGCAGGTTAGGCTGAAGAAGGGTGGTAGCAGCAGGTGAGGAGGAATAAGGGTGGTTGCAGCAGGTTAGGCTGAAGAAGGGTGGTAGCAGCAGGTGAGGAGGAATAAGGGTGGTTGCAGCAGGTTAGGCTGAAGAAGGGTGGTAGCAGCAGGTGAGGAGGAATAAGGGTGGTTGCAGCAGGTTAGGCGGAAGAAGGTGAAGGGTGAAAAGTTGTCTTTGCAACTTCTGACCAAGGAGTGATCAAAGTGGTACATTCCCACCTGGGCACTTAGGACATGAGAGAACGGCGCAGCTCCTGAAATCCGAATGGTGGAGAGGTAAATGGAAACTTGGCCTGTGGGAGCTGTGAGTGCGGAAAGGCTACCGGTAGTTGAAGATGTGCTACAACCCCCACTCCTCTCTTTCCCCCCACTCCCCTCATACCCCTCACTCCTCTCATACCCCTCACTCCTCTCATACCCCTCACTCCTCTCATACCCCTCACTCCTCTCAAAACCCCCACTCCCATTATACCTCCACTGGTCTCATGCTCCCGATTCCTTTCATACCCCCCAACCCCAATACCCTCTCTCCTCTCATATCCCCAAACTCCTCTCATATCCCCACACTCCTCTCATATCCCCACACTCCTCTCATATCCCCACACTCCTCTCATATCCCCACACTCCTCTCATATCCCCACACTCCTCTCATATCCCCACACTCCTCTCATACTCCCCACTCCTCTCATAAACCCCAATCCTCTCCTGCCCATCACCCACTCATATCCCCACTCATCTCATCCCTCCCACTCCTATCACAGCCCCAACTCCTCCTCTCATAACCTCCACTCATCCTCACATACTTCCCACTCCAGGTGAGTCAGGTGGGTGATTCAGGTGGGTGACTAAGGTGGGTGACTCAGGTGGTTGATTCAGGTGGGTGGCTCGGGTGAGTGGCTCAGGTGGGCTCAGGTGGGTGATTCAGGTGGGTGGCTCAGGTGGGCGGCTCAGGTGGGTGACTCAGGTGGGTAACTCAGGTGGGTGAATCAGGTGGGTAACTCAGGTGGGTGACTCAGGTGGGGAAGACTCATGTAGGAGACTCAGGTGGGTGATTTAGCTGGGTGATTCAGGAGGGTGATTCAGGTGAGTGAGTTACTCAGGTGGGTAATTCAGGTCGGTGGCTCAGGTGGGTGACTCGGGTGGGTGACTCGGGTGGGTGACTCGGGTGGGAGACTCGGGTGGGTGACTCAAGTGGGTGACTCAGGTGGGTGACTCAGGTGGGTGAGGCAGGTAAGTGATTCAGGTGGGTGACTGAAGGATGTGGATGAGAATCGTTTGCATTGGCACTACAGATGCCATCGTTTGAAACACCCTCTTGCAATGGCTATTCCAACAGGGTTTAGGGTACCCATGCTTGATCCCGCCCACGCACCAGCACCACCTATGGTACTGCAGAGGGTATGGCAGCAGAGGTGTGTCCTGCACACCTGGTGCTTGGCTTTGTGATAGAAGCTGGCAATTTCATTGTACACCCCACTGCCGACTTGCAGGGCGTCAAGCTTGCATATGAAAGCAAGCTCAAATGAGTCAGCTTACGAAATGCATTATGGTAGTGAATTTCCCAGCATGCACAAGGCTCCAACATGAGCTGGCTGGCAGGTTGCCTGTTGTGGCGTCCATCTTCACACAACCATCCTTGAGCCCCGTGCTTTTAGGTGTCTTGCCATGTCCCTCGCGTCTGTGCATTCACTCATTCCTCACTTCGCCTCTCCTCCTGCCCCGCCCCCTCATCCCTGCGCTCAAGTTTTCGTCTGTAGACGCACTTCTCTCTCGTGCTGACCGGCTCTTCTTCTCCCTCGGGTCTCACCTCTTCCTGCCTGCCAGCCCAACAGCTTCTTCTCGCAGCAGCTGATAGCGTGTGAGGTGTGGATGGAGCAAAGCATGACAAGAAGAGACCGCCGGAGCAACTCCGCAATGTGCTGGCATGGACGCCTGCCCCCAGGGCGTGGACGCACTCACTACCAAGGCACTATCCCTCCGCATGGCCTTCCTCTCCCCTACGGCATGGTTGCGCTAACTGGCAACCTGCGGTCAGCAGCAGGTTAGCAGCAGGTCAGTCTCAGGTCAGTCTCAAGTCAGTTTCAGGTCAGTTTCAGGTCAGTTTCCGGTCATTTTCAGGTCAGTCTCAGGTCAGTCTCAGGTCAGTCTCAGGTCAGTCTCAAGTCAGTCTCACGTCAGTCTCAGGTCAGTCTCAGGTCAGTTTCAGGTCAGTTTCAGGTCAGTTTCAGGTCAGTCTCAGGTCAGTCTCAGGTCAATCTCAGGTCAGTCTCAACTCAGGTCAATTTCAGGTCAGTCAAAGGTCAGTTTCAGGTCAGTCTCAGGACAGTCTCAGGTCAGTCTCAGGTCAGTCTCAGGTCAGTCTCAGGTCAGTTTCAGGTCAGTTTCAGGTCAGTTTCAGGTCAGTCTCGCGTCAGTCTCAAGTCAGTCTCAGGTCAGTCTCAGGTCAGTTTCAAGTCAGTTTCAGGTCAGTTTCAGGTCAGTCTCAGGTCAGTTTCAGGTCGGATTCAGGTCAGTCTCACGTCAGTCTCAGGTCAGTCTCAGGTCAGTTTCAGGTCAGTTTCAGGTCAGTTTCAGGTCAGTCTCACGTCAGTCTCAGGTCAGTCTCAGGTCAGTCTCAGCTCAGGTCAGTTTCAAGTCAGTCTCAGGTCAGTCTCAGGTCAGTCGCAGCTCAGTCTCAGCTCAGGTCAGTTCCAAGTCAGTCTTAGGTCAGTTTCAGGTCAGTCTCAGGTAAGTCTCAGGTCAATCTCAGGTCAGTTTCAGGCCAGTTTCAGGTTAGTCTCAGGTCAGTCTCAGGTCAGTCTCAGGTCAGTCTCTGGTCAGTCTCAGGTCAGTCTCAGGTCTGTCTCAGGTCTGTCTCAAGTCAGTCTCAGGTCAATCTCAGGTCAGTTTCAGGTCAGTTTCAGGTCAGTCTCAGGTCAGTCTCAGGTCAGTCTCAAGTCAGTCTCAGGTCAGTTTCAGGTCAGTCTCAGGTCAGTTTCAGGTCAGTCTCAGGTCAGTTTCAGGTCAGTCTCAGGTCAGTCTCAGGTCAGTTTCAGGTCAGTTTCAGGACAGTCTCAGGTCAGTCTCAAGTCAGTCTCATGTCAGTCTTAGATTGGTCTCGGGTCAGTCTTAGGTCAGTCATATATTGGTCTCAGGTCAGTCTTGTGTCAGTCTCATTTCAGTCTCAAGTTAGTCTGATCGTTCTCCAATAAAGTTGAGCCAGTCCGATTGTCAAATTCAACCAGTTCAATCGAATCGAATCAGAATTGAGGTTCAAACTGAACCGGTTCCACCACACTTTGTCCATTCCCATCCCCTTTTGCATCTCTTCCCAGGGCCTGCCGCCTCTCACTCCCACATCCCGTTCCCCTCGCATCGTCCCCATCCCCATCCTGATTCCCATCCCCATTGTCATCCCCTGCCCACCCAGATGTGCAAGTGCCGACAGCAGCGGCCATCACACAGCTCCAATCTGCCTATCCTGCACCCACCTCACTTGTATCTATCCCACTCTCTTTTGCCACACTTCCTCAGCCACCCAACAGGTGTGCATGGTCAAGCCAGTAGCATCCATCCCCTGCCGTCTCCACACAGGCACACGGATCAGCGATCACTCATCTCTGCACTGGGGTCACAAGTGCGTGTATCAAACTTACCTCCACCGAATCAGGTCTGTGCTCTCATTTGTCGCCTGGTGCGACACCACTTCCATTGGCACCCCATTGCCTCTTTTGTCCACCCTATTTTGAGTCGACTCTAAACAATACCTGGTGCGACACCACTGCCATTCGCACCTCATTGTCCCTGGTGTCCACCCTGTTTTGAGTCGACTCTAAACATCACCTGGTGCGCCACCACTGCCATTGGCACCCCGTTGTCTCTTGTGTCCACCCTTTCAATGCGGGGGAGACAGTCCCTTGATCTCACTGCCCCTTGATTTCACCGCCCCTTCATCCCATTACGCCCATGATCCTACCACCCCATCACCCCTTTACCCCATCGCCCATCATCCCATCTTCTCCCCACCAGCTCCTTGCATTAGCTATTTGCCCTCGCTGTGATGGCTGATGTGAAACAGCTTTGGCAAGTCACTGTCTGCCCTGCCCCCTCATGTGTCCAACTTCCTTACCTGCATGAGACAAGAGCAACGATGTGAGGATATAAACTACATGAGCCCCGTGTGTTGTAGTCGTCTCATGCCTGCCGTGCCATCCCCCTTTCCCTCCCCCCTCCTCCCCCTTCACTTGTTCATGCGCTCATTCCTTTTCTGCCTCCCCGCCTTCCTCCTATCGACTTTGGCCCAACAGGGTGGCAAAGTTCCAGCTGGGGGCTTATGTGTCACTGCCTACAGCTGTTCATCTAATCAACCGTATGAGACTAGCCGAGATGCCGGCAACAAGAAATAGAAACAGGCGGTTGTGAGGCAGTTAGTTGATGTGCGAAACAAATGGTCAATGCTTGACGGTTCGATCGAACGTGTAACAGAACAGTGAGGATCATTGAGTACACAACGTCTCACTTATGGTTAGACAGACCTAGCTGTGCTGTATGTCGGAAACCTAATACAAGGATATGGCAACTAGGTCAAATGGACAATACATATGCTGCTTAATGTACTACTACTAATATGGTCACTGGGATTGATTAAACATGGCCACTCTGAACTTAGGGTACATTCCGGCCTGAAGATGTCACAAAACAAAGCGTCAGAAACGAGATTAGAAAGAACAGAGTAGCTTGTAGGCCCAAGCTTGTTTCACAAATGTTTTGTTAGTTAGTTTTTTTTTGTTGGATAAAAGAAGGAAAACCAATGCACATTATTGGTACTCTCCTTTAATGAATTCTCAAAGTCAGATGGTAAATTATCATTGTATTGCAGTTTGAAGTACCCACTATTGTACAGAACTCACTGTATCCAATAATGCACCAGCCAATATGGTTCTATCTGCCTGCCTGACCTTCATTTCGCGCTGACTGAAGCGTTGAAATGTGTCGCAAATATTCAACGCGTTTGGTTGCTGGAAGTGCGTGAGCCAACCTCCACACCACAATGTTGCGGTTTGAGAAACCTCTGCGATTTCCCAGTCAAACCTGGACTCTGTGGTTCCCCAAGCCAAAAGCCCAGCCTTGGAGCCTTTGACCCGCGTCTCTCAAACCACCTGGTTTTTGACTCGCCTATAAGTAGTCATTGACTCTCCTAACATCCACAACACTTATCAGTAGCTACTATTCCATCGTCTTCCTTCACCCCAATCCAAGCTCTAAACCAGAGCGACAAATACAGCAGGAGACCATCTCTCGACACGACATCCATAGCAGCACAACACCATCCATGGCAGTCAGAGCGCTCGTCCTCTCGTGCATCCTCCTCCTCGTGTCGACGTCCGCCTTGGCGCAGCGTGGTCCGCCTGGCGGAGGTCCTCCCGGCAGTCAGCGCGGAGGCCCTGGCGCCGGTTCCGCCAGATCCGGCGGTCCTGGAGGTCCCAACGGTCCCGGCGGGCCTGGCGGGCCCGACGGACCGCACGGGCCTCCGCTGAATCTGACGGCCGTTGGGAATTTGACGGCCGATGTTGGCGCGCGGCTCGCCAACTGCTCCGCGGATCAGAAGATCTTTGACGGCCGATTCCACCTCGCCATCTTCAAGTAGGACTCGATGCCTTCCTTTCTGTCACATAGCATCGCCACATATCCCTAATCTGTTGTGCGCTTCCCCATTTCGTTTCCAGTCGCTAGAGTTTAGCACGACAATTGGCTTCCGCACGATTTCTTCAATTGATAGCTTGTGCAGAATCTTCGGATCGTCGCGCGCTCATTGCGTGTTCCCCTCATCCTCAATCCCCACTTTCCCTCACCTGCCCCTTTATCTGCACGCCCTCTCTCAGAAACTCCACCGGCAGTTACAATCTGCTCGTCGAAGCCCTCCTGGTGGACGCGGCGGGCAGTCCGCCCGACTCGCTCGCGATCGTGAAGGGCGCCGTGTGCGACGCCGCCGCGACGGCCGTCTTCGCGCTGCCGCTCGCCGCGGCGGACTGGCAGCAGCGTGCGGGGTGGTGGCTGCTGCACGCGGAGGCGCGCCTCGACGCGTTCCTCGAGAACGCGGACGCCGCCACCCTCGACGCGCTGCTCGCGGTGCTCCCCACAGCCTCGCTTCCGCCCACCAGCGGCGGCGGGCGCAACGGCGGAGGCAACGCTGGCGGAGGTAGCGCGGGGGGCGTGCGGAACGGGCAGGGCGGCAGGCGCATGGGGCTGGGGATGGGGCGGGAGCTGCTGATGCGCGCAGTGGGCCGCGCTGCCAGGCAGGGGGGACAGAAGCAGAAGGGGCAGCAGCAGCAGGAGGGAGCGCAGCAGCCGCATGCAGGTGGCTTTCCAGGTGGATTTCCAGGTGGCGATGGCGGAGTGAACAGCACGGTGAGCGGGTATGCTGTGCTGGCGGGCAGCAGCGCAGCAGGTGTGACTTGGGGCGGGCAGCTTATGGGGGCCAAGATGCCCGCCGCTGCTGTTTAATGCATCCCTGCCGTGCTGCTGCTGCTGCTGCTGCTTGATTCGTCGATGGCTGAGATGGTTGAGAGGTGTAAACCCAGGCTGATGCGGTTGAAAGCGCTGCTGCATGTTGCTTGCATCAGTGCTGCGAGGATGCTTGTGGAGTCAGCTAGGTTAAAACAAGTGCATGCAGGTTGCTGCTGTTGCAGCTCAGGGCTGCTGCTGCCATGGTTGTAATTGTCTTGAGGGCTTCTCATCCGTCTGTGTGTGTTTGGATAGATTTGCTTAGATTCCTGGAGAGTAGCTCGAGTAGGTCAAGGCATCAGGGGCAGGAATGCTGGCAAGGCATCAGGGGACACCAGCTGACTTGCCAGTCTTCCTACCCCTGATTGTTCCTGTGATGCTGTTCATTCATTGCAATCTTTAAGTTATTTTCGGTTTCCCTTCGCATCAGACGTGTTTTGGGGTAGTAGTATCTTCCTCCTGAAGCTTGAGATTAACAGAGCTACTTAAGCTGCTTTCTGCCAGCAGCAAGCCGCTTTAGGCAGGAGCATACAATCGGCAGTAAGCGGATCAGCTTATAGCGGTAAAATCGTCGTAGGATAGGTGACGCATCAGATGGCGCCTGTGTGATTTAAGTGGTGAGTGCAAATGCTGCGGGCAGAAAGGCAAAAGCGGTAGGGGAGGGGGAGCGGTTATTGACAGAGAGATGGCGGGTGGCGGAGGGTTTTGTGAGGATGGCTGGCGGAGGAGCTGGGAGGAGCTGGGAGGAGCTGGGAGGAGCTGGGAGGAGCTGGGAGGAGCTGGGGGAGGGCTGGGAGTGGACTCCCAAGCCGTGGCGGACGTGTGTAGCGGCGATGATGAAGCAATATCGTGGATAATGATATGCAGCTCTGACACTCCGCGCAGAGAGGTGGACGGCCTTTTGGAGACAGGAGCCTATGGCGGGACTAGCAGTAGTAACGACTACGGGACGGGCAGGAGATTGTAACCGGGGGGGGGGGAAGCATTGCACGGGTAAGGGAGGGGACGCCACCAGCTGCAGGCGCAGAGAAGGGCGTTCCATGTGGCGTGGTGATATTGGTCGTCGTGTTGCTGGAGCTGTTTGCAGTGGGCATGGCCATGTCACTCGTTACGCAGCTGATTAAGGAGCTAGGTACGCCCTTTCCCCTTGCCACCTTTCTCTTTGCCTTTCCTATTGCCCCTTCGCTTTGCCCCTCCCCGTTTGCCCCTCCCCAAAGCCCCTTCGCTTTGCCGCCCCCTCTTGCCCCTTCCTTTTGCCCCTTGCCCTTACCCCTTCGTTTTTCCTCTCCCATCTGCACCTCCCCCTGTCCCTCCCACATGCCCCTTCTCATTTCCCATCCGCCCTGTCTTCCCCTTATTCCACCCTTGCCCCTTCCCATTGCGCCTTTCCTTTGCCTATTTCCCATTGCCCCGCCTCCCTGCCCCTCAACATGCGTTCCTCCCCCCTTTCCCCATCTCCCTGCCCTCCCGGAGCCCCCTTGCCTGACCCTTCCCCTTTTCCCCGCCCCCTTGCCCCTCGACCTGCACCCCTGCGCTCTACTCCTCCCCCCCGGTTCCTGGTGTGCTGCCTCTGAACCCTTTGTCCGCGTTAGGAGCGTTCCCACCAGTACAGGACGGCTTCCCCTTGTCCACATGGAGGGCTGTGCAAGTCGTTATCAGGCCGTTCTTCGTGTCACGGTGAGAGAAGAAAGAAGGGCAATGGGAGAAAGAGGGGGTGGGGAAGGGGGAGAGGGGGGACGGCGAGAATTGAAGTTCCGGTTAGGGCAGAGCTCCCGTGTAAATGCCAAGAGGGATTTGGGATGTGGGGAAGGGTACCTGCTGCTCAGTTCGCCCTTTGCTCGTGTCCAGGGCAGGGCAGAATGCACCAGTATAACGGTGAGAGAAACGCGATGCACCGGATGAAGAGTAAGTAGTAACTGCAACCAATTGCTCGCTCCTGAGGTGACATGGAGAAGAACAGTTTTTCATCGCTCGTTGATGTGTGCATGCCTCACTCTTGATACATATACGGGTGACCTCACATGACCTCTTCCTTACATTCCTTTTTTACATATTAGAGTCTGCCCGACTCATGTTCTGGCCCGTAGTTTTTTTTTTTTTTTCCTTTCCCGTTCACTACTCTGCATTCCATGCATGAGCCGATTCGGTTGGTCTTTTGCCTGGCGTGATGGATTCAACCTCTTTCAAAGATTTTTTTGATCTTCCATGCAATGTGTGTTATGGCCTTCTTGAAACCTTCCTATTGCTGCTAGCCCAGAGCACTTGTGTCACTATGAGAGAAGGAGGGCTGGGGCGAGCTGCTTGCTACTACTAGTGAACAACACCAGTGTAAGGGTGAGGAAAGAATGACACAGCACGTGACTTGTAGAAAAGAACTTGAATTAGTTGCTCCTGAGCTGACCTAAAAGCAAAACGATTTTCTGTGCACGCCTTTCTATATTTGTATGCACTCGGCCTCTTCGCTCTTGTGCCCACTCCCGCACAAATTAGATTCTGCTCGACTCATGTTCCTGCTCAGCTGGGTTTCACATAAACACATTGTACTCGCTTCACGACTCTCTCTTGCATGTATGAGTCGAAGGTGGTCAGCAGGCAATGGCGGCGCAAGAGGCATTGGCGGCAGTCGTGGCGGCGGTGGGGGGCTTGGGGAGGAGGGCGGGAAGAGGAACGAGGGGTTAGAGAAAGGGGGGCTGCTGATGGGCTGGCGGGCCATTGACATGCTTAGAATCTACAAGGAGCGACGCCCTGATGGGTGGAGATGCATGACGCGTGTGAAACTCACTCAGGGAAAAAATGGGGAAGAATGGGAGAGAGGTGGGGGGGGGGGGGGGGGGGGGGGAGAGGGGTCGAAGTTGGGTTGAAGGAAGGTGGGGCAAAGGAGTGGTGAAGATAAGGGTGGGTAAAGGAAGGGTGTTGAAGGAAGTGGGGAGAGGGAGTTTGATTGAAGTCGATGGATGTGACACGTTTCGTGTGAGGAGACGTGTGAGAGGTTGTGAGCAGCCGCTGTGGCGTGGGGATGATGGATGTGAGAGTCATTTGAAGACTGGGTTGGGTCGCCGATGGGAGGGCTGCTGCTGGGGCAGGTAAGTCTCAGGTCAGTCTCAGGTCAGTTTCAGGTCAGGTTCACGCCACTCTAACATCACTTTCACGTAAGTTTCAGGTCAGTCTCAGGTCAATCTCAGGTCAGTCTCAGGTAAGTCTCAGGTGAGTCTCATGTAAGTCTCAGGTAATTCTCAGGTCAGTCTCAGGTAAGTCTCAAGTAAGTCTCAAGTAAGTCTCAGGTAAGTCTCAGGTAAGTCTCAGGTAACCAGCAGCATCCATCCATCCATCCATCCATCCATCCATCCATCCGTCCGTCCGTCCGTCCGTCCGTCCGTCCGTCCGTCCGTCCGTCCGTCCGTCCGTCCGTCCGTCCATCCATCCATCCATCCATCCATCCATCCATCCATCCATCCATCCATCCATCCATCCATCCATCCACCCATCCCCTGCCATCTATGCAGTCACACACCTGTCAGCGATCACTCATCTCCACAATGAGGCTAGTAGTGCCTTGTGTGGCATGTGCTCGCATTTGTCGCATGGCTTGCCACCACTGCCTGCCATAGGCACTTCATTGTCTCTTGTATACAATCCACCCTTTTGATGTGGAAAAGGCACAACCTTGATCTTGTCTCCTCATCATCCCAACACACCATGATCTCATTGCCCCAATCACATCATTATCCCATCACACCATCATCCCACCACACCATCACCCCGTGATCTCATCATCCCATCGCCAAGTGGTTATTTGGGTAAAATTTTGCAATTGGAAATAGCCTCAAAGTTTAGGGTTGATACGTTTTACGAATTGTGATGATTGCATATCATGGTTCGAGAATGATTGGATAGAGAAGGGTTTGCTTCTATCATAAATCCATTGTGCACTATTGTAGCACAATGATATTGTGTAGTCCACCAAGTAAATTTCTGCAATTGGATATGGTAACTATAACTGCACCCCCATATTCTAAGGAATTTAAATGTATTTTTGCAAGCACAATATCGCGGAAAAAGTTCCGACAATATCGCTTCAGCTGGTTCGGCATTCAACCTCACCCCAAACCACCCCCGAGTCACCCCCACACAAATCGCCACATTTTCGAGCCTCGTTTTCCTGAAGTTATCGCGCAGCTAGGTTGTTCCCATATCATCCCCAAATTTTCATTGTATTGTTACTCTCGATACTCATTGATCCTCGCACTCAGTCGGTTCAATATAACAAAAACTATCTTCAATCGTTAGCCCGCTCATTAGCGAGTATAGCCACACTAACCACTCAGCCACACTAACCACTCAGCCACACTAACCACTCAGCCACACTAACCACTCAGCCACACTAACCACTCAGCCACACTAACCACTCAGCCACACTAACCACTCAGCCACACTAACCACTCAGCCACACTAACCACTCAGCCACACTAACCACTCAGCCACACTAACCACTCAGCCACACTAACCACTCAGCCACACTAACCACTCAGCCGCACTAAGCACTCAGCCGCACTAAGCACTCAGCCACACTAAGCACTCAGCCACACTAAGCACTCAGCCACACTAAGCACTCAGCCACACTAAGCACTCAGCCACACTAAGCACTCAGCCACACTAAGAACTCAGCCACACTAACCACTCAGCCACACTAACCACTCAGCCACACTAACCACTCAGCCACACTAAGCACTCAGCCACACTAAGCACTCAGCCACACTAAGCACTCAGCCACACTAAGCACTCAGCCACACTAACCACTCAGCCACACTAACCATTCAGCCACACTAACCACTCAGCCACACTAACCATTGTATTGTTACTCTCGAGGCTGCGTTCTGCGGGCGCATCATCTCTGATGCGTCCGAGGCTCGGCCTGGTCCGCACATTGAAAAATAGAGGTTCGGAAATCGAAATTTTGAAATTGCGAAATTGAGGTTCGGACATTTGGAATTTAGGTTTGG